TATATACACTGGACAACAAAATTAATGCAACACCTGTTCACTCTGCAAAAATAGGCAAATTTCAAGATACAATAACTTCGTCAAAAATTGTCGTATCGGGATATTTAAAAATTTTGCAGGTAGAAACCTCTACTTTTCAGATCACTACTTAAAAAACGATCTTATGGAGATTTCATGAAGCTACACAAACATAAATAAAGATATAAAAAATCTCAAAATTTTTTACGAAATTTGCGGAGTTCCACAGAATGGACTAAAAATTGTATACAAGTGCGATTTAGCAAAAGGACCATTTTTGCTTCAACGTTGAATAACTCGATGAAAAAAAATCGTACGGAGCTTCGTAAAAAAGTAAATTACAGGTAAAGATTCACTCTTTCGAATGATGTAAATCGCATTTGTATACAATTTTTATTCCACTCCGTGGAGCTTCGCAAATTTTGAGGTCTAATATATTTTGATTTATGTTTGTGTAACTTCATGAAATCTCCATGAGACTGTTTTGTTAAGTAGCGATTCAAAAAGTAGAGATTTCTACCTGTAAAATGCTTTTTTAAACATCCTGATACGACAATTTTTGACGAAGTTATTGTATCTTGAAATTTGCCTATTTTTGCAGAGTAAACAGGTATTGCGTTAATTTTGTTGCCTAGTGTATATATATATATTATATATATATATATTGTATAAAATTTTCATAAAATGAAAATAAAAGAAACAATCCCCAGTGACCTTGATCTTAACAAATGTTATTCAGGACATTCCTGAACAACATTCAAGAGGTTTTAGCTGTCGGTCGGGCACCCTGTATAATGCTAATGTCGGTACTGCAATTTTCAAACTTATAACTCACAAAGTACTTAATGAAAATGAACTTGATTATAATGTTTTAAAAAGCTCTCGAGGTAAGCTACAAGAATATGCAATAAAAAATTGAGGGTTTCGTTTAAAAAATTCAAAGTGACCTTGCCCTGACAACGTTACCCAAGATCAAACCAATAATACCATCTTATGTTCCCCCTCGAAGTCACAAAACTTTTGTCTGAAACACTTTTCGATTTAACGCAGTGTTTCTGACATATTTGAGTGGATTTTTTAAAATGGGATATCCTTTATATCTAAATAGCAAAATGTCTGCAGTCTTCTCCTAGCAGACTATCAGCAGATTCCAGCAGAAAATGACGGTAGTCTGCCATCAACTGCGTCCGCATTAGGTTTGTGTTCTATTAACATCGCCTATCAATATAATGTGAAGGCAAATTGTTAGCAGAAACTGAGCAGATCCTGCCGACATTATTTGACGCTTGCAGATTCTGTTACATTTTTTTTATCAGTCTGTCAACAGTATTATGTACATCTAATTCTGTCGTTATTTTGTTGTCATAGTGTGTAGCAGACATTAAAAAAGTCTGCTTTTTACAGACTTGGCTATCTGGATATGTGTAAATTGACATAGAAAATTTTTTTATATATATATATAAAAATTTTTAGTGTCAATTTTCTGAATAACAACTCTCAGACTTTTCTCGGACGAGAATGGATTGAAATGAATTGAAATAGATTCAGATTTCAGAAATATTGATTCACGAATGTTAAAATGAATACTTTTCAATCCTGAATGCATTTTTATTCATTTATAGGAATTGCATAGAGCATATCTCTATGCCTTTCAAAAATAATATTAGCATTTTCTGTGTATCGTGAATACTACTTAATTTAAGAATTGTGAATAGAAAGTACAGTTTTTTAAATTCAGTTAAATTAAAAAATAATATCAGCAATTTCTGTGCAATGAATACTGCTCAATTCAATATTCTGAATATGAAATATAGTTTTTCAATCTAATTGAATAAAAAAAGTTGTTATTTAAAAATGGACCATAAACATTACTAATAAATTATAAGTAGGAAATTTTTCATTTTAATCCAACTAAGTTAAAAAAAGTTGTAACATAAAAATAATTGAGCTATGTTCTTTTTTCTCTTTGATCAGAAGTAAAATGAATCATCGATGTGAATACTCGTAAATCAAGTCGAACACAGCCCGAATATTAGGCTAATTACGGCGCGACATCGGTCAAGCGAGATTAGATTATCTGACATTTACCTAATGTTGTCTCAGTAATGTAAATTGTTTATATTTTATTATATCTGTTAAGTAATATTTTTATTATATCTATTGTATATAATTTCGTTACTAGTTTAGCTGGTTGTAATTGAAGTATATATATATATATATATAACTTAAACTATAGATTAATAATAGAACTACAATCCATTTACGGAATAATTGTTTTGATTTGATGTGAAAACCTTGAAAAAAAGGCTGTTAG